GGCAACAGATTCAACTTGAGGATAATCAACTTTAATATAGTGCCAATTAAGTGAAAAACAAAGACAAGTATTAAAACAACTTTTCTCCCCACTCTCCCAGACTTCACTGTTTCAGTCCTGACTTTTCTACCCACTCTCAGTGGGGAGCTATAGGCAGTTAAGTTCCCCTCTCTAGCTCCTTTGTCTTCACACTTTCCCCCTGCTCCTGCACGGGCGTTCCAGGGATCACAGTTCTCATCAGGAAATTTCCATTTGCCTACGCTAGGGTCCTCCAAGGGCTACAGTGGGGACTCTTTCACTGCTGTGGAACAACTCCTTTCCTTTCTCTGACCTTGCTGTTCCCTTTGTTTTGTTCACTCCTTTTTTTTTTTCTTCCTCCTCTGCAGCTGCTTCACTACCAAAACCTTTCCATCTACGCCCAGTACAGATGATAATGCTAGTCACTGTAACAAAGAAGGTATCAGAATATCCTCAGGGGCCTGTGCTCAGTATGAAACAGTCTTTTCCCTTAAGGTCCAGTGACTACTTCCCAGAATTTGTCTCACAAGCCACTGAGAAAAAATGGGAATAAATCCCACTATATTTTAATCTATAATTCTTTCATCAGTTAAGCACAATAAAATTCAGATAGAATCTTGTCTAAAAATTCCTGCAAAAGCACATGCCATGCTGTTTAAAAAAAATTCATTTCTATGGATAAAATTTTCACTCATTACGGGTAGAAAAGAAAAATGTCATGTGTTTCTTACTGAGAGCCATTGCTGAATTCTTCTCAACTCTTAGAAATATTTGTTTTCACTTGAAAAACATGGGTTTAAGCAAATAATCTCAGCAGCTAATCTACTAGTGTGATGCTCCCTACAGAAGAGTTTGTCAGAGAACATAAGAGACTGAGGATCTGTTGGTCCCTAATCAAATATAATACTTTTTACACTAATTCCATCACTAGGAGATATCCAGAAATGTGATTTTTAACAGTCTTTCTGAAAAACAGTAATACTATTTTATAAAATGAAGTTATGCCTGAAGTTACGCTGCAATATGTCCTTCAAATTCTCCATGGCTGCATTCAGATAGCAGCATGTCTTTACGCAGCCTCCTCCACAAGTGCTTTAGAAAACACACGAGATCTATATACTGGCATGGCATAAAGTGAATTTACCTTTCAGGTTACATGCCCATTTTTTCATGTGATGCTCTAGCATCCTGAAATGTCTTGACTTTCCACTAGTAAAACTGTTTGGTTTTTTCTCTTTGTATTTGTTGACTGAATTATATTGTAATGACTAAAACTGGCTCTTTGATTTCCAGACCAGGAGACTGAAAGTTCAGTAGGACATGCCTTTTATAAAGGAAAGTACCTGCCTACTGTGTAGGTTGTCAAATCTGGTCTTGTATTCAACAATAGATGAATGCTCGGTCAGTTTCTCACAGCAACTCCTATGAAATACTAAGTTAGTTTTCAAAATAAAGAGGAAAATGGTATTATTCCAAAAGAAAAAAGTATTTGTGGCTCTCAAGAAAGCTGCTTGCAGCATTGGCTCTAACACACTTTTCTTCAAATTTATTTTTTTTTAAGACTCTATGTTAACCATAGAAACACTCACTTCACATGGCACAGTTTTAGGATCTTGTTAGTGCCTCTTTCATTCACCAGAATTTCTCTGATTTGTTTTATTTGTGTGAATTCTGTTTGCTGCACTGGAATGTCTTCTGTATTTACTGACTTAGAGTAGACAATGTTCATGTGCTTTACCTTTACTAGTTCAGCTTTGGAAATTCAGAAAAATGTACAAAACCTACTCAGTTATTGAAGATTCTTCCTAATAAAATTTGCTTCCTCATATAATCATGTTATTAGCAGAGGTGTCTTTAAGAGGGCTGGCCTGTCACTTTAAACAAAGATTACTATTATCTACTGTTATGGCTGGTGGTTCGGGTTGGAGAAGAGATTTGGGCAGTGGAATCGACAGTTCTAAATATCTCAGCCTTCCAAATTAAATCATTATTTAAATTCAGGAACAAGATAAGAAGAGCCCTTTTTGAGATTTTTCACAATATATTTCCAATATTTCCAACATGCATTCTTAGGAATCCAACCTTCACTGAGAAATTGCATAAACCTCTCAAGTTAGAGATCTTATTTCTTGAATAAAAGAAAGATTCAAAGTGTTATCTTGGTGTCCAGACGTAATGAAATTAGATGTATTTCTTTATCCCCAGTTTGCACACAAGATAAAAGGGGTCAATTGAATAGAGTGCAACTTGCAGTCAACAGCTCCCCAACGGACTCAAAGAAAAATGCATCCTCTCCTTTTTAATCAGACTTATAAATAGATAGGGGTGATTTCATATGCACTTTGCAGTCTCTTACCCTGCAATTTGGCCCATTCCCTGTATTTTTTCCTGGAACATGGTACTATGCAGGGTACCTATGCATATCACAGATACTGCCGTCATTTTTAATAAGTAGCTTATCACTGTGATGCAACTAAAAGCAATCCTGAGTGTCTCCAGGGTTTGTTGTAATTAAATTTTATTGTTGTATTTGAAAATGTACATTTTTTGAAAACCAGTGCAAGAAAAATGGAAAAGAGATTCTAGAAGGTGATAGTCTGATTTTTACAAGGTTTTAACCCTTTGTACTTTCCAGATTCACAAGGCTTATTTATGCTTCCCAAGCTGCTGGTCTTATACACCTCTGAAGCCCTGAATATAGCAGCTAGTGTAGTTTATTAACTGATTTTGAGTAACTGTCAAAAGATTATCATTTATACCTGCAGTCAGATGCTGTAGGATCAGAGGTTCAGTAACTTGTGGGTCGCTAATAAGATTGTAGAAGGCCTTTTCTGAAAGTCTTATACTCTTTCTTCTCCAAGTATTTACAGCTATAAGAGAATTTCTTCAAGTCCCAGTACCGCCAATGAAGTGCTGTGAAAAAAAGGCAGCATTTGCTAACTTCTGATTCGGACAATAAAGAAATGACACTGTTTTCAGCAGAAAACCAGTTTACTTATATTGTTCTCTGGCATTACACTGCCATGCTCAGACACCACCACCCAAACGACTGAAGAGTGCATCAGCTACCTTTGCACTCACACCTTTGTGCATTCAGTGGAATTTCTTGTATTCTGTATTCAGGGACTGAGCTTCACTTTGGTCATTGTACTGGTTCTCTTCACAGCGCAGCTCATCAGGACTACTAATCAAGCACGCATTGCAGTTTTCCCCTTTTGTGTTTTATTCCTGCTTGATTTTCATGCCACGAGGTGCTGTGAACTGCTTTTAGAGATTCGTATAACATTTTTTTCCAAATCAAAATATTTCCTCCAAACAATGTCATCTTTTCTGTCTGGCATTGCTACTAATCTTTATTTAGTTATTTACTTTATAATTTCTAGAGGGATTGGATATGCCCAAGGCACCCCTTTAAGCAACACTTTATATCAAGGTTGCATTTATAAATACTTCATGAGAGGCTAATGAATGATTAATAGATGTTTTAATGTATGACCAATCAATTGTAGATTTTGCAATGTCCAACAGACAAGTAGGTTTCTTATAAGCATAGATTATAACCATATCTGACATCTTCTATTGATGGGCTTCTAAACGTCTATAACATACACACTACTCATATCTGTAACATGCTTAAAACATCTACTAATCACTGATTAATTTTTTATAACCTATTTTGAAGCAGAGCCTGTCTATGGAGTATATCACTTACCACTGCTTGTGACTCTCCATTTCTAAAAGATAGATAATTTCCTCATCATCTTAGGACTTAGAAATCCTACTAATTTCAGCTCAAACATAAAGCTGTTTTGAGTTAGCTCTAGCATTTTCATCTCAGTATAAGAAAAAATGTCTCTAGACAGTTATGTCCCTCAGACTTCTGGCTGCTCTATCCTGCTAATGCATATTTTAAAGTTCTGCTATAATGCAATGATTCTTAGGAGGCAAAGCCACTCTAAAATGTATTTTCAGCCTCTTGAACTCAGTTTAATTTCTCTCAAGACAGCTGTCCAAGTGATTATGTTTCACAATGTTTTTGGTTTTTTTACTGTTATCCCTGTGTGCTTGGTTCAATGTTTGTCCTTTCTCAGAAAAGGATAAGAAAATAGAAACTTCCCAATAAGCCAGTAGAAAAGCCGTGTCCAAGATAACTTTTGATTCTGACAGAGGAGCACGCATTTTGTATGCTTGATAAGCACAGGAGTTGATAGGACTGCTTCTCCATGGGATTCCCCTAGTCTTTAAGGTGAAAGCCATGACCATGTTCTATGCTTTCTGTGGTGCATTGAGGTAGAATTGACTAAAACAGACAATACAAATTATTTCCTGAAAATGTATGAGTCCTGGAACTAATCATTCACACTTGAGATGCAGCATATTGCTTAGTATCATATTTTGCAAATTAATTTTGACTTCTTACTTGAAATCTACTGACTTCCCTTACAAGGTTGAGTCTTCTAATGTGATTTATCTAGATATTGAGACCAATTATTTAATGATAAAAATTAAAAGGATTTGCAGATTTCTCTTGGGTTTGAGGTCATCAGTAAAATAGTTTCTGTTCTGAATATCTCCAAGTAAACTTTCCACTCCCAGTCAAGCGCTAATCTTTCACTGATTGCTCTTTACAGTAGTACTAAGCTGCTACACCTGTGGCATTCACAACTTGAGCCTAAAGAACCACATCAAGCATAACTCGATTAAAAAAATAGGAGAGTTAATGTAGGATTAAAAAGGGGAATTGTATTCAACATCACATGGAATTTCCTCTTCCTTTTTTAAAACTACTAATTTTCAAAGCCCCAGAAGTAAGAACCTCTCAAACTTGAGCTCTTGGAGCAGACATTTTTTACACACAATTAAGTGGGTAAAAAACATTAAAATAACATAAGCGTTACTGTGCTATCACTTTTATATTATTGAGTTAGTATTAGATATTTATCATGGGTTTTATCATTATCTTTTAATTCTTTTTTTTCCAGCTGGTTAATAATCCACTAGCAAGTCAAGCAGCAGCAGCAGCTGCAGCAGCAGCAGCCATGGGCTCAATAGCAAACTCCCAGGCCTTTGGAAACGCCCTCTCCAGTCTTCAGGGGGTCACAGGCCAGCTCGTCACTAATGCACAAGGACAGGTGAGTAGAACATGGAGCAAACAGTGAATTCTGATGGCAGGCTGATCTCGGGACAAAAATCAGTTCCGCCTGTATGACAGCAATTTAAAAGTGCACATGTTGAAGATAAATAAATATTGATTTGCCAGACAAGGTAAGAAATGGAAAGTCTAAGAAACAGGGGAAAATTAGGCACTCTTAAAGAGTGTTTTCAAGCTAGAAAAGAAAAGGTTAAGGGTTTGGTTTATTTTGTTTCAGTCCTTTAAAAATATTTCAGTAGTGCAATACCATTTACTAATATTTTACCATTTCAAAAGTCCAGCAACCTTGTGATTTTTAACAAACATACCATCTGTCTTCTTCCACTTATATATGCCTAATAACAGACAACTTTACTGAAGTGGTACAGTGCTTCACTTTTTTCCATTTCTGTGGTATTTCTGCATTATGTTGTTTCTTAAAAGGCATTAAATGTTTCTAGTAAAGGAAAATAAATTGTAATGAGGCATAAGGAATGGAGTTATCTGAGTGGCTTCCTAATTTGTTTATTAACTATGTTAAGCAATTTGCAATGACTATGCCAGCCTGTAAATGCAAATTTGGAGGATTATTTTGATGTAAAGAAAATTTTCCAAAAAGGAACTTGAACATTGTTTAAGAGATAATGTGTCTAAGAGAGAGATTGTGCATTACCTACATTTTGGAGATGTTTGTTTGTTAAAACTATTTTAGTTTCAGTCTTAGAATGATGCAGAAACATATGCATCTGAATCCATATATATAAAAATAATTCCTTTGATGCGCCATATTTAAGTGGCTTTCAGATGGTGACCACTTTTATCTTTTATTGAATTTATTAGGAGTAAAACTAACACAATTGTTTCTCTGCAACAGATCTGTGAATATAACTGGTAACTGAGTCATTTGAATGTCATTATTCTAAATTCTACAAACTGGGCATACAGTGATACCCACAGTGTTTATGTGGATGTTAGGCCCTGAAAAAGATTTATTGAAATGATGCAGCTTGGATGATATGGGATCTAAAATCTAGTTCCTACTCTTACTGTTTACTAGTGAGGAGAAAAAAGAAAAAAAGAAAGAGCAGCTCTTTTCCTGGTAGTTTTCTGTGAGTTAATTGAAACAAGAATGAGGTTTTTTATTTTGGCCCATTAAAAAATAAAATTGAACATTTTATAGGACCTCCCCTGTTTTTTTTTAAACAGGACACATAAACAAAGATGCTTCCTGAGCTTCACTATCACCATCCAAGTCCCAGGGAAAAAAAATGCTGACCTTGTTATATTTACTGGGTGGGTGCAGAATTGTTCCATCACTACCCCGAGGGTTGAACGATGGAGCTTGTCAAAGTGAGGCCTTATCTAATGAATCATCTTATCGCAGGTGCACACCACACATATTAAAGGAGGATTGTATGAACAATGTGCCCTCTACAATAACCTTTCAATGTCTACTTTAACCCTTGTTTCAATCCCTTTTCATCAAAGGATCATTTTATGCAGCCAGCTTTAAATGGAGGCTCTCAAAAGCCTATTAAGATTTCTGGAGGGATGGGGTATTGGTTTGGGAGAAAAGTTGGTTATAATACCTATAACTCATAGTCAGATCAGCTCCAACATAGAAGCCTGCTTGTTTCTATCTCCTCTGTGCTCCAGAAATGGTTCACAGTTGCCACTTAAATATAAAGCACTTGACACCAAACAGGCTCATCGTAAGAGCTGAAGTTATGACTGTAGACTAATTTCTTTATAGCTTTTCCTTTACATGTTCTCCACTGAACTATATTCACTGAACATGTTCTCACACTATGTGTGACCATTCACTGTTTTCTCAAAAAAATACCACTACTAAGAAGATACCACTGAATATAAGTTTCACTCAGGCTGAGTCTGTTTATTCCAGACATAAAGTCAAAACCAATAATTCCACAGGTTGCAGAGAAAGAGAAAGGAAAGGAAGAATCTTCCCAATTGTCAGAATCAAATTACTGCATCTAGCTATCTGCCTAGGTTTTTTAAAATAAGGGTTTTCTTTTTATTACTTTTTTTTTGCAAATGTTCCTTGGTTTATAATCAGTACTGCTGACCTTGCCACAATATAAATAAATATTGACAGTAAGTGTGTAATATAACATACAGTTTTATAATATTCAGCACAAACTCATATTACTTAGAGGCCACTTATCAGGCTGCCTTAAAACAGGACCATTCAGTATAATTTATTTACATTCCAGAAAGTAAATTACATTCCCTTCAAATTAATAGAATTATAGCACCTAACCAAGAACTACAGGATGTTTTTTTCAAAATTGGGAGCATATACGAATAGTAATTTGAAATGCTCCATTTCTAAATAATCTGCTTGGAGTCACTAAAGAGCCAGATTTGCACCACATGTTAAGAATTCTGCCCTTTAAAAATTTTCCCATTCAAGGAAACACAAGCATGATACCCAAAACTCATTCCTGAAAATATAAAGCTAAATGAGTTACTAGAATGTTGATATGTGCAATCTTTGTAATTACATGCCGTTTCTGTTACAGAAATTCAGGGCTTGTAAATGTCCATCTGTCTAGCTAAATATATGGTGATCAGTAATCCCTGGAGACACTAAGCTCTAGGTCAAATCCAAGATCCTATGCCAAATTTAAGGGAAATGATCCTTTAAATGACATATGGCATGGCCTTAATTCCCAATAGTCTAAGAGTTCTTACTATTATCGTTTAAAAAATTATATATATTAACAATAATTTATATACCTTTTTATTTAATTAATTATTGAATTCAGAGTTATAGCATGTTTATTTTTCATTTTTTGCTGTGAATGGCAATATGAACTGTATCACCAGAGCTTCCCAAGATCAAACCAAGAGATCTAATCCATTGAAACAATATGATTAGATCACCTGATTAATTTGATATAGTACACATAGAGGACTCTAAATCAAATTTTCATTTTCAGAGGCATATTATGAAGAGCTATTGGCCCATGTAACACTGCTTACATTCGGTTTGGCCTCAGCACTTTCCAGGAAGTGTTTGCAGCTCTGGGCTTTTATATCTTAAATTTGAAGGCCAGGGCAGCTGGTTTGCCAGATTGCACCCTCAGTAGATTTTAAAGAAATACTGTCTACCTATTCAGCTTCAGCCTGCCTTACAGTAGGACCCTAGTGCCATTGCTGCCCTTGGATTCTTCAGAGGTTTAACCCAATATATCTTTTTTTTTTTTTATACTGGTTTTGCAAAGAAAATAGAAAATCAGGAGTTTTGTGTTGGTTTTGCTATGTTCATTAAGTATGTGAAATGTGTGCTTTGGAGGTTGTCATAATATTTGTAAGGAAATGAGCCACAGAAATATGAAAGCAAGGTTGATGAATATGGTTTCTAATTATCATCAGTTGCATTCATATATGCCTCTTGACTTCAGCAGGATCAAATACATTTTAACTGTGGGTACTGAGTAAGTTTAGTTTCTCTTTTGAAAAGATGGGATTGTCGAAGAGGAGAAAAATACCACTAAATTCAGCAGTTGCAAAATAACATTTTACCATAAAAGAGAAGAGAAACATGATAAGAGTTGTCATGATGAACTGCCTTGTGGATAAAGGGCAATAGTCTGTTTCCTGCGAGATTAAAAGGAAAATCTAAGTATGTATGGTGCAATTGTATTGTCCACACTTTAAGTGAACAGTGAATTAATTGGGATTGTTTCATTATAATGTAAGAATGCCCCTGAAGTAACCCAGGCTTCATTGTGCCCATGCCTTGCTCTTTAGATATGAAAACCTTCTGTATAAAAAAAATCTTAAGCACAGGTCCACCCTGGTACTTAACAAAAAATAACTAATTTTTGAGTGTTGTAGTCCACAAGTAGCTCAGGAAACTAAATAGAGAGAGAGGCATTGTTGATGCAATTAGATAATAGGAGTACTTTGGTTCTCATTATTCTGATGAGAGGATACACATTTGCTCTTTGAGCTTCTTGATGGTAAACGGTGCTAATGAGGCCTGATGGATTCCCTGCTCCTAACAAGCCTCTCAGCAGCACAAGTGATTACAATGGAGATAGATTTGATGGGATGCGCTCCCTTTTGTAGTATCTCAGCTGCTGACACTCTGCGACATAATCAGGTCACAGAGCCGGTCACAGCCATCAGCAAAAGCCATAGCTCTATTCCTCATTATTAAAGTGCATTATTCAGTTCCAGGCCTTCACAATACTGCCAAGGGCCTTTTTTTTCTTCCCCTTTTTTTGTTAAGCATCAGTTCTCAAATACAAGAGTTAATAAAATCATCAGCTAAAGAACTAGTAAATTAAAGAAATGGAAATAAAGTGCTCCCTTTCAAATTCATTGAAGGATCACAATTAAATAAGCTGGGGAATTTCTCATCACCACACACTGTACAGTACAATGTAATATGTCATGTACAATAACAACGGGGCTAGGATTTTTTAAAATAACACTGTGCTCATTGTGGACTGGCTTGGAAAGTGCTGAAGTATGGTAAAGGAAATTTCTCTCTTCTCAACTATTACATGTCTACATGTAGGTACTATTATTTTCACTGTTTTCTGTGACTACTTTTTTTCTGAAGTAAGAACAGTTATTTGCAAACTAAGTTTATCATTCTAAGCAGAGCAGCTGTCTTGTCTTATCTGAAGTGGCCAAGGCCACAATCTGGAAAATATTTAATAGGCTGCAGTACTAGAACCTCTTTGTTCCCACAGACAAGACCATTACCTTCTTTTGGGGAGTGAGGTAATTATAACACAGTGTGGAAAAAGGTGTTTGTAGCATTTTCTTTCTATTCCAATGATGTTCAGTTGGGGCTATCCCCATTCCAAAAGAAAATACTTTTTTAAAATCTAAGGCACATTTTAATGTAGTTTAGTTAAACGTGAGAAAAAAATAGTGGAAAGCTGGAATTTGTTAGTTACTTACTTACTTATTAACTTTTGTTTCAGCTAAATAGCAATAAGATATTCCAATACTGATATG